CTGCCTTGCTGTGGGTGTCCTGAGCAAATACCCCACCCCCCTTTTACAAACAGGACTGAAACGCTCAGTCTTTGTCCTGTGAAGCCCCCAGTGCTGTTCTCCCAGTGAAATGGTGCCTTCTCCAAAACACTGGAGGGCTGGGGGACTTGTGGCTGCTGCTGAATGAGGTGTAGAAATGTCCCTGGGACCAGGGGCCGCCTTTGCAGTGTGTCACGTTGGGCTGTTTGCCCAGTCTGCCATGAAAACATGGGTTTAGTGATGCTCCCCCAGTGCTGGAGATGAGGTCCTGGACTGCGACAAAGCTCTTCGGACCCGGTAAGATCCACGGGGAAGTGGTGGTCAAAGGGAGCAGGGAGGCACCTCTGGGCCCTGTGATGAGATTTTCTGCTTCTGTGTCCTGAGCAAGTTTGATCACGTTGTGATGCTCGATGGCATTATCAGCTTTTTGGCAGGAGTTTGGTGGAAAAACGAATGGTGCTGCCCAGAGGGGGTGTGTGTGTTGTGGGCTACTTTTGGGCTGCTTTTATTATTGTTTCTTGTAATGCTGTTTGGCCAGAAGCCAGTGCCCCCAGGGGATCCTTTATCCACCCAAGGAAAACAGCTCCTCAGTTCCTGCAGGGCTTGTCACTTGTCATATCCAGCTTAATGCTCCTGGGAGGTGATGGCAGGAGGTGACAGTGCCATGGGCCAGCTGGCACAGCACAGCCTTGGCCCTGGGGCTCTACCTGCACTGGAGATGGGCATTGCTGGGCTGCTGTGATTGAGTGCAGGGAGGTTTCCCTCGAGGCAGTTTGAATAAGGTGTGGGTGACATTACGCGTTGGGATGGGACATTGTGGTCTGGCACCCAGCTTGTGTTGGCAGCAGGGAGGCCTGATGAGCAGCAGGAGCTGATGAAACATTGCATTTGCCTCAGTGATCATTCTTTCAGTGATGCGTTGGGGAAAATGCAAACTGAAGCATAAAAATATAATTTCTGAGTTTTCTTTCTCCTGCTGCCCCTAAATCTGGTGGTTTTTACTGGAGAAGAGCAGCTGTGCTTGTGCAGAGGAAAGAGCTCACAGCCACTCCTCTCCAGTAAAAAGCCCAGCAGTGGCTCAGGGGGAAAACTTGTATTTGCTCCTTGGGGGGGTGATGGTGGGGAAACAGAATCCAGCAATTGTGGGGCTGACAAAAGAAAGGTTTTGCTCCTGATAAAGCAACCATTTCACAAATTAAATTCCTGGCTGGTGGCAGTGCCGCTCTCCTGCTGGCTGCCCTGGGATAAGGTCTCCAGTGAAGCTGGGCAGGAGAAAGGCTAATGAGGTGCAATTAGTGATGAAGTAATGAGGGGGACGAGCAGAAAGGATGTGCCCTCGCCTCTAGAGCTGTAAATTCCGGCAGCGAAGCTGGGGCTGGGTGCTGTCACTGCTGGTGTGTGGGGCAGGTGGTCTGTGTCCTGCTCTGGAGAAGGCAGCTCAGAGTGTTCAGGTTCTCCTCCATCGATGGTGGGACAGGATGGAGCTTGGGCCTTGGGAAATAGTGCTGGGTCAATGCTGAGAAGAGGAGGTTAAAGAGGTCAGAATGTGTGTCCTTGTTGGATGGTGCCCTTCCTGCACAAAGGGGTTTTTTGGTGGCTGTTTCCAAAGCAGATGGGGCATTTTTCTATCTAAGAGCTGTGTTGAATAGGAATTGCTGGGGAGAATGGTAAGAAGCAGCTGAATCTTTTATCACCACAATTCAGGCTTGTTTCCAGTGTTTGGCACAAAATGTCTAAAGAGCTGAGAAGGAGACCCATAAACTCTCTGTTACTGAGCAGTAATTACCAAGGCAGTGTGGGCAGGTCTGCCCAGCCCCCTGCTGGGAAAAGAGGTGCCCAGGTGCTGCCAGATGCCAGTTTGCACACTGGTAGCAGTGGGGACCATGAAGGCAAGTACAAGGACGGGACTGGTGAGGAACAGCCCCAGTGTTTCTGCGTGGGGAATTCCATCTGAACAGGAGCAAAAACCTTCCTGTGAGGGTAATGGAGCCCTGGGAGAGGCTGCCCAGAGAGGGTAACTGTGAGGGTAATGGAGCCCTGGCAGAGGCTGCCCAGAGAGGTGGTGGAGTCTCCTTCTCTGAAGACATTCAAAACCTGTCTGGACGTGACCCTGTGTGACCTGCTCTGGCAGGGAGTTGGGGGACATTATCTCCAGAGGTCCCTTCCAGCCCTGACTGTGAGGCAGGAAGCAGCCACAGAGGGTGGGTGACCTGCTTGGGCAGGGAGTTGGGGGACATCATCTCCAGAGGTTCCTTCCAGCTCTGACCGTTCTGATTCTGTGCCTGTGAGGCAGGAAGCAGCCACAGAGGGTGGTGCTGCAGGCACTGGTGGAATTGGGTCCAGGGCAGGTCCCTGAGGTCAAGCTGAGCCTCTTCACCCGATTTCTCTGCCCTTCCCCGGGCCTGGGGCCAAGTCCCTGTGCCAGAGGCAGGGCCACCTGCGTCACTGCTGAGCTGGCCCGGCCCCAGAGGCTTCGTCAGGGGCCCCTGTTTGGAAACAGAGGCTCCAAGGCAAACGTGGGCAGGTGTCCAACCATAACATGAATTACATTGTGACATGATGTAGGGGATGCTGAGAACCTCTGTGGTATGTGAGGGCTCCTTCCTCTTGGAGAGCAGCCCCACGGGGAGGCATCAGCCCTGTGGTGTGCTCCAGCGTGGTCCTTTCTCTCTGCAAGCTGCTGCTGCTGCTTTCTCAGCCTTCTTTTCCCCCTCTCAGTTGTCTTGGTGGCCCTGCCTTGGGGTGTTTCAGCTTTAGTTTTGGCTCTTTGGTTTTGGGAGATGAGCTGGTGGGGCTGGGGATTGGCTCCCCTGCTCGTGGTGGCAAAGGTATGTGGGGTCGGGTGTTCCTGTCACAGCCCGGGCTGGCAGTGAGCGCTGGTGGCCGTGCCACTTGGGGTGTTTCAGCTTTAGTTTTGGCTCTTTGGTTTTGGGAGATGAGGTGGTGGGGCTGGGGATTGGCTCCCCTGCTCGTGGTGGCAAAGGTGTGTGTGGGTTTGGGTGTTCCTGTCACAACCTGGGCTGGCAGTGAGCGCTGGTGGCCGTGCCAGGGAGAGGGGGATGCTCAGCACGGGGAGGGGGCTGTAGAAAGTCATGTTGGCAACAGCCCCTCAGAAATGGGGTCTCTTGGTGTTGCTGGGGGCCGGGGGGAGGGTTGTCTGTGCTTTTTTGGACCTCCACAAGCAGGTTGGGCAGAGCTGGTGCTGCATCTGAGCTGGAGCTTTTCCAAATCCCATCAGCCACGAGCACCTTTCTGTTGAACAGACACAAAGTTGTTGTCACCGCCCCCAGGTTTGTCCTGAGGCTTGGGATGCTGCCTGGAGCTCCCCTGGGAAACCGCTGTGTTTTCTGCTCTCCTTTTTTGTCCCCAGGGCTGGAGAGGACAACGGTGCTCTGCAGCCTGTGCTGGGCTTCTGTTCCCAGCTGACCCATGGGGAGAGCCTGGGGAGGAGGAGGAGGTTTTGTGGCACCTCATGGTGCTCAGAGGCAGCTCAAGAAAATCCAATCCCCTTGAGAAACAGCTCCATAAAATAGCATCTTCCTCTCCCAGCGTGTTCCAACTGCCACATCCCCGCTCCCTGCGCTGTTATTGGCATCACTGGTGTTCTTCAGAGTAGGAGATGGGGCTCTGGTGATGGGGAGCAAGGGCACTGGGGCACCAGGGTGAAGGTGGTGGGGACACAGCAGGGACAGTTGGCTGAGGACCCAGCACTGACAAGTCAGGAGCTGGTGTCCCAGTGGCTGGACCTGCCACCCCTGTGCTGTCGTGTGGCTTCTCCTGAGCACATCCATCAAAGCCCAAGCTGGGAAGCCCTCTCTGCTCCCAGCTCTTCTCTTGTACAGTTTCTGGGCACACTGGGTGGCATCAAATGTGCAAAAGTCTTCTGCAAGCAGCTCTGAAAGCTTTTAATCTGATGTCACTGACATAATATTGAAAGCCTTTGTTTGATGGAGCAAACAGGTTTTTAATCCCCAGCGTAGGAGGCTCCGCTGAGGAACCTGACCTGGGGGAGGGACGGGTCCAACCTGCCACTGAGGAGCTTGGCTGTGACAGCAAAAAGCCGGTTTGATTGTGTGGAAATGTTGCCTGCAGTGGAAGGATTAATGACTAATCGTGGTTTCATTAATTCTAGAGCTTTCACTTTCAGTGAAGAGTTCATCTAATGATAGTATCAACTAATTACCTGGAGATCAGCATCATCTCCTGTGGTGGGCAGAAAATTGAGGCACACAAAGGGAGGTCTGGGGGGGTCTGGAGGGGCAGGAAAAGATCCTGATCCCTGTAAGGTCAGACCCTGTGCTAAGGGAGGCCCAGGACAAAGGAGGAGCAAGAGCTCAGGGGTTTCAGTAGGACAAAAGTATCTTCTGATTTGGGATGGAAAGGCTCACTTTAGGAAACAGAAGGAATTACAGTTTCATGGCAACAACCATGGCATTTATTCAGCTGAACTCAGTATCAATTTCAAAAGACAGAGGGTGACTGTATCACACTCAGATTGAGCAATGAATCTTTACGTAGTCTTTTGACATCATTTTAAAAATATATGATGCTTCAATCAGTTTAAGATGTTTACGTTTTAAAAGATAAATTGGGGAAAAAGCTAAAATCTAGGTGAAGCTTTTAAGTTGCCAGTCGTCAGTCCCCAAAATCTATAAACTAGTATCATTTTAAGCCTTTTTCAGAAAAGTGACATTAACACTGAAGAGCCCTGCAAACTGCAGTTCCTGGTAGTCTTTATGTTCTGTTGGTTGTGTAATATTTGTATAAAATACTGCAGTGCTTTAAAAAAATATTTTCCTCAACATCTGTTGTTGGCAGTTTCCCATGGTACGAAACCAGTTGTGGGAATAGTGCAAAGATTTGCCTCGAGACAAGAGAAAATGCTAAACATAATTTATTAAAGAAATATTTTTCTAGTGCATGTAAACATTTTTCCTTCATCAGTGGACGAACAGCTCTGGGGACAGACGTCATCTGCTGTGTCAATGCACCTTCCTTGTGTTCAGGTGGGGGAAGTACACCCCGTACATGCCTTGTTGAACCTGGTATAGATGCGACTTCCTTCTCAGGCAGAAGACAATCTGGTGGGAAAAGAACAATGTTAATGGCCAAAAAAACCCCTATGAGTCTTTGCCCTTCCTTAGATGCCCTCAAACTACGTTGCCAGTTGGGGATGGAGGGACTCTGTGATGAAGATATTTGCCTAAAGCTGCCCAGGCAGGAACCAGCACAACCCCTAACTCTGAGGTTTCTCCTCTTCTAAATCTCACTGATTGTGATTTTCACTCCTAAACCTCTAAGTGCAGCGATGCATGGTCTTTGCAGATTTAGCTGGTGGCCAAGCAAACAGAGCTCCTTTGGGAACAGTGCTATTAAGATACTGTCCCCCATCAAACACCAGCAGAGATGAGAAGGGGGTCTGCTCTGCTCTTGTAGGATGCATGGTCTTTGCAGATTTAGCTGTTCTGTTCTAGCTGGTGGCCAAGCAAACAGAGCTCCTTTGGGAACAGTGCTATTAAGATACTGTCCCCCATCAAACACCAGCAGAGATGAGAAGGGGGTCTGCTCTGCTCTTGTACGAGCTGGAGCACAGCCCTGCAAAGCTGCTGCAGTCTTTGTTAAAAGCATTGAATATAAAATTCTGCATGTGATTCCTGCAGGTTATTAAAAACATAGTTTTCTGCACTCCCTTATCCATAAATGGATTTTTCTGTAGATATTTGATCAAGGAAGAGGTTGAAGAAATGCTGCAGGACATCCCCCATTTCAACCTGCTCATCATCTTGGGCTTAACTTTGGGGTTTATATTTTTGTCTCTGCAAAAGGAAGCACTGGATCATGAATGAGAGTCTTTCCTAGAAATCTCCTGAGCTGGCTATAAAATTCCCTTCCCCATCCTCCTGTGCACAAGTCCCTGAAAGAGCTGGCAGTAACTGAAGGAGGATTTGGCATGACTGTTTGTGTCAGGTGCAGCTCCCACTGAGCTTCTTGTGGATGTGTCTGAATGTCCCTCCTGCAGGTCCCCAGGTGGGTGAGCACTGCTGGGGTCACATCAGAGGTAGGACAGCAAAGGGGCCACTTACCAGGAAGCATAACAAGAGGAGGATGATGAAGCCAAGCAGGGTGAAAACACAGATGAGGATAATTGCCCAGAACTGAAGCTCTGCAAAGGCAAAATAAGGGCAGATCAGGTTTTTTGGACTCCTGTACACAGGACAGAAAGGGAGATCTCACCCTGACAAAGTTCAGAAGTTCTGTATACTTGAGGCAAAACTGCTAAAAGGCAGCATCTGGCTTTCCTTGGCTGCAGGGCAAACATGCCCCAGTGATGTGAGAGGGGTGGGATGTACTGCAGTAAAATGGAGTGAGGGTCCAAGGATCTACAGCTTCAAATGTCACCTAAGTGAGAGTCACAGCCCTCAGGTGGTTTCAGGGATGTTCAGAGCAGTGAGAGTCACTGTCTCTCTGAACATCCCTGAAACCACCTGAGGGCTAAGTTCTCTCTTTTTGGGGAAGGGACAGGGCTAAGGGTGTCAGTATAAGCTGTAGTTACTTTTGCCAGCATGTTTGTGGTGCATGGAAAAGCAACAGTTCAGAGTACATTTTTTTTATCCTGTTAATTGTTCTCTCTGTGGGTAATGCTCATAATACTATCTTGATTTTATCCTGTTAATTGTTATCTCTGTTGTGGGTAATGCTCATAATACTATCTTGATTTTTTTGGTAAATACTGCAGTTATCAAAATTTATTGGTGCCAGAGCTCCAAAACAGCTTCCCAATTTGTATTGCTTTTGCCTGTCCTTCACTTCCATTTTCCTCAGGCTGGCTCTGATGGTACCTGTTCTTTGCCAGGCTACCAAGAGTCCTTGATTTCTGGACTCTTGCACGGGTCTCATCTCCATTTTGGGGAATGTGATGCTCATTTGTTATGGTTCCAGCATTCAGTGACTTGTAGGGTCAATCTCTCCCTAAAAGTACTTACCAGATTTTTCAGACCCCTGTTCATCTGTCTCGACTGGGGAGTAACCTGGAAATAAAGCGTGGGACAGGTGAGGAAGTGCTGTAGGGGTGATTAAAACAAAACTAATAAACATGCCCCTGACATTCCTACAAAGTCATCACAGGAGCTCTCACCTTCAACAACCAGACTCTCCTCTTCCAGCTGGTAGCTGGAGCCCAGCTGGGTGAACCCGTGCGTCAGGCGTTTCAGCTCCTCGTACACCTCTTGCTTCTGTAAAACCCTTGAGAAGGGGTTAAGTAGGAATTTGCAGGTGGAGGTGATGCTTGTGTAAGCTTTCCCACGGACAGGCCTGGAGGATGACAACCAGAATCATCAGTATGGGAGAAAAGAGAGAGGGGAAAAAAAGTAGAGCTGAGTAGAGGCAGGGAGAGAGGGACTGAGAATCAGGCTCAGGGTTTGCATATGTCTAAGCGGGGTTTTATTAGCACGGGATCAGTTTCTGCAGTTGATGCTGCATGAAACAGGAACTCCTGCAGCCTTGTGAAATCCTGCCACTGATTTAATCCTAGGAAAGGCATTTCCAAGAGGTAAATCAGCTCAGCTTTTTTTTGCTCCTCCAAAGAGGTGTTGGAGAAGACATGGAGAAGTAGATCTCGTTTTCAGACTGGTCAGTCTTGTTTGAATAAGCTCAATGGGAGAATGAAGGTATTTGTTTTACTCTGGAGTTGTTTGTGCATGAAAACAGCCTTGTTAGCATGGAAACAAAACCACCTCTCATTTGGACAGAAACCTCTTGTGGTAAAAGGCAAAACTGAGAGTGAATGAAGGTGCCTGGGTGTCACCCAGAGCTCAGAGGCTGGCAATGAGACATCACCACCATCCTGTGGCTCTGAATGCCTCTCTGCTGACTGCTCTTTTGGGGGTGCAAGAAAAAACACTTCTGAAGTGGGGACGTACCCAAAGTTCTCAACAGTGCACCCAGCGAAATAGTCCTTCAGGCTGCTGGCTCTGAATATGTCAAGCTGGTGGGAAAAAACAAAACAATTGAGGAAAACCGAGTAAACTTAAAACATCTTTAATTTGGACATGGAGATCAAGCTATTGCTGTTATGTTTTACCTCTTTCTCAATTTTCTCTTTGTTCTCTTGGTACATCTGTGACCTGGAGTCCTGCAGTTCTGGGGAGTAGGGAAGGTTGGAGATTCTGAAGCTTAATCTGAAGTTTTCTTTCCCAGACTTGAGGGGTGCTTTGTGAGTTACTGCCTCAATTGCTAGTTCCAAGCCTGGAAATTAGGAGGAAAAGTCAGTATATATTCTAGCAGAGAAACAGAGGCTCTTCTGCCAAGCAGCATTATCTGCAGACTTTTAGCTGGGGAAACTTGAAGTCTTAATGGATTAACAGAACTTGAGTTGCACTTAGGTTTGACAGCAAATTTCCAGTTCACCCTTTGAATCAGTCCTTCACAGGGTACTCGGCCACTCATTTCTCTGGGAAGCTGTACATTTGCAGAAAGCTAAAAGTCCCTTTATCTCTAAATGCTTGAAGTTATCGTGAGTAGTTGCCACTTCATTTTCTTATTATTTAACATTAATACCTTAAATAATTGAAGACTAAAGGGCTACACTGGGCCAGAATGAATGTGGCAAAGGACTGGCCCAACTTTGACCTGGGTTCAATAATTCAATGTGATAACATCAATATATTTCCATGCAATCCTCTGATAGACCAGAAGTTGGGGAATTCTGAGCACGACGTGGTGAAGTGGGTTGATCTGGGTGGAAACCAGGCAGCTGTGATGTGAGCTCTACGTACTGTCTACTGAGAATCCTTGCAGCTGGTAACTGCTTCCCAGCCATAGTCCAGTTGCATTTGAAGTCCTGTCCTGGAAAGTCCTTTCAACCACAGTCCTGTTGATGCTGGGCTCTGGCTGGAAGAAGCACTTGCAGTCGACCACTATGGATCCGGTCCTGTGGACAGGGAAATGGAGGTTCTGAGATAAATGGGCTGATGGTCATAAAACTTGTTTATGCCTTCATGTGGGTTTCCTGAAGGGTTCCTGCCATTAAGTGTTAAGTGTTTGAAGCTAACGTGATGCTCTTGAGAGGTGGGAAGAGGCTGCTTTTGGCCCTTCCTTTGGCCAGGGACAGCAAATGCAATGTAACTCTCTGAAAACTTAGGTTACACCCTATGATCAGCACTTTTTTTAAAAGGCTTTACCCTGTGTGAGGGTCCCTTGTCCAAGCCTCTTCCCATCTGGAGCAGGACACTACAGCTGTGCCTGAAGCCCACTTTTAGAACTTACTGGAGCCCAGTTAGGGAGAAGAGGTTGCAGGGTCAACATTTGGTCCTCCTTAAGAGGTGACATTGTTGATAGAAATTCCTGGAATATTCAGAGACCTAAGAGTGCCTTGCAGAAATCCTGACTGAGACTTAGAAAAATGTCACTCTGTACAAAGTCAGGAAAAATTCAAACTAATGAATTCTGCAAAAGCTGGAAAAGACTTCTTAGGGCATGAAGGGGGAGAGAGATTCTGCAGAGAACAGTGGCACTTGGCCGGGGGGAATGGTGCCAGAGTGTGGCAACCTTTCAAACAAAATGAGTTTGTTTCACACACCTCAGCCTTGTGATACTGCAGTTCAGGAACTGGTCTCGCAGGTTGCTCTGATGGTACAGTTGATTCACCTGAAATAAAAATGTCATGTTAAATATTAATGAGTTCTGGGCCTCACGGTATATGCCTTAGGGCAGCAGAAGGGCTGCTAACTTTGGAGAAAGACCAGATTATTTTGGGGGGGCTACTTGGATTTCATGGGAGTATGAATAGGCACCAGAATATGCCTTCTGGTGATGGTCTGACTTCCAGCTTGGCAAGTCCTTGTCTTATCTGAGTGAGCTGCCAGTGTTAAACAGCACAATCTGGTGACTGGCAGCTGTCACCTTCATCCACGTGTCACAGCGCAGCCACAGAACTCAAAGTATGGAATGTTATGGCTTCATCTAAAAAGCAAACCCTACTTAGGGCTTTATTGGGTTGGTATGGTGGCAAATTGGTGCTGAAGGTTGTCAGCAATGAATTATGTATATGCTGAGCTCTGAGCTGGCAGAGATTTGTCTGCACCTCTAGAGATGGGACTGAAACGCTGAGTTGAGAGCGCGTTTAACAGATTAACTGAACCTCTTGCATTTGGTAGTGCATGTCTTTGGAAACAGTTTCTTAAAACCACATGTAACATAGCAAAATCAAAAATGATTCAAAGGCCAATCTCATCTTTTTATGATGAGATTGTTCTAGACATTTCTGTTCTAGAAATTTTTGTTTTCAAATGCTGATTTTCTTAAATTAAAAAATAAATCTATGGCAGTTGCTGCAGAAGCTGCCAAATGCAGACATGACAGCATGAGCTGCATCTCCTTACCTTGTTAGTGATGCTCTCCACTGCTGCTTTGTATTCTGGAGACTGAGGGTCCGGGTTAGTTAAGTTTTCATTGACTATTCTAAAGCTCAGCCTGTAGCCCAATTCGTCTGGAGCTTCAGTTGAGACAGGCTTTCTGGTGTTAACTGTGTCTGTGAGGGGGAAACCTAAACAAAAAAGGTAGAGTGCGTTTATTTTTACATCAGATCTCTTCATACCACAAGAGCAATATAGGTACGTCCCTGTTTAGATTATATAATGTAACAATTAAATTCTCCAGGAATTTGTATGGTTTAAGGGATGGAAATGCCTCTAGAATGGCAATATCATGCTGGATTCGTGCTGTCACAGTGTCAAAACCTACAGAATACCAGCATACCAAAGGCTGATGTTCACTAGTGCTCAAGCCCCATTGGAGTGGAAGGATGAGAAGTCATCTCCAAGTGATCCCAAAATCATACCTTGACACTGTTTGTGGATGCTTACCATTGATGTACAGGCTGTTCCTCTCCAGGCTGTAGTGCCCTAGTGTGGTGACACTGTTTGTCATGGTGCTCAGCTCATGATAAACCTTTTCTCTGTCAAAGGTGGCAAGGCTGTCATTGGTTTTGTAGCTGCAGACAGCATCTACGCCTGTGTAATCCATGTTTCTCCCAGACCTAAGAAAAAATGTCAAACATGTTCTTTAGGACACAACTATGTTTTACAGAACACCCTGTGTAACTTGTGTTAGTAGGAACAACGGGCACTGACACCTGTCAGTGCAATTGGGCTCCTGCATCTTTCAACAGGTTCTCAAGAATTGTGGCAATGGCATTTAGATACCAAAGGGATTTTACCCACAAGAAAATCATGAATGGAAAGGGAGGTGTCACTGGCTTCTGTTTCTGGTATCACAACTTATGCAAATTTCAGGTCTATAAGCACAGATAAAGAAAATCTTACCTAAATCTCATAATTTTGCATCCTGTGTAGGTAGAGTTTATGCTGCTTCTTTTGAAAAGAGGGTCAATCTGTCAAAAAGAAAATGTACAACTGAGAACTTTGAAAGCATGTCCTGAGTTTAATGCAGGCAAATTAAGATCCCCACCGTAACACCAAAGGGGCAAAGCAAGAGTCAGACTTACATAATGGTTGAGAACTTTTACTGTGGAAATGAATTTGCGGGAGCTTGGTGCCTCCAGGTCTGCAGTGTACTGAAGGTTGGTCAAGGTGAAATTCAGGGTGAAATGCTTGGACGTTGGGCTTGGGGCGGTACCTTTGCTCAGAGCTATAATCAAAGGGGAGAAGGATTATGATCTTGCTCTACAAAAAGCTATCCTCGCTTTCAAAGACATTCCCAACCCTAGCACACTTCAAGACTACTCTGGAGAATCCCTTCCCTCCTTAATTTTTGGAGTGCACCACTCCTTCGATAGGTTTCTCTGGAAGGAGTTTGGCAAAGCACTTACATGATCTCTCGAGTGGTTCGTTGTAACCTGGAAAGTAAATGCAAGAAAAATCTCACGTAAGAGAACTGTACACTGAAGAGAATGAAAGAGGAGAGGGGATGATTAAATGCATGACTCAGAATATGACAAATTCATCACAACCTGTCCCTGAGGGTGTGAATCTATTAAACAAACAACTTGCTGCTTAAGCAGAACAAGGTGCTTTTATAATAGCAAAGACTTCAGTGAGAAAGCACATGTGCTGCTGTTTAAATTAAATACTGGTAGGACAGAAGTTAGGTGAAATGTTCATATGCAGGTGAATGACTGAGGTCAAGGCTAAAGTAAAGTAACTCTTCAGTGTAATAATAGAAATTAAAATCTTCAAAGATAATGTGAAAATGTTCTTGGAAGCATATGCTGCATGTTGCACACATAAGTTATGCAGTAAACTCCAGTGGTACCACTGTTTCCTTAAGGTCACTATTTTTTTTTCTAGATTGGTGTGCTCCCTGATGCCCAAGGTAGCCCCAAACTGCTCTAGTGCCTGGAGCAATGACAAAATCAAGCACTTACCATTGATGTAGAGGCTCGTATTGTCCAGGTCATAGATTCCTAATTTGGTGATGCCATTTGTCATGCCCTTTAGTTCTTGGTAAACCTTAGCTCGGTCCAACTCAGGCACTTGGGAGCCATTTCCATAGTTGCAGATGGTGTCTACTCCTGTGCTATCCCTGTTCCTCATGGACCTGTGGAATTGAACATCATGAAGCTTCTGTTAGTTATTCCAAAAACCTGTGTATTTTTCTGATGTGATTTTTTTTTTTTTTAAAAAAAGCCCTCAAAACAATTAAAATCTGTCCATAGTTGTCAGAGATGGTCTGCAGACATTATGGAGATGTGGTACTACAAAGAAAGAGGCTTTGTAAGATAAGGACTATATAAAAATGCATAGAAACTTTATTATAATGATACTGGCTTTCTTGAAAAATGAACTGTTATTAGTTATTTGTCAGTCAAACATCTGGAAATCCATTTGCTAAGGGTGAGAGTTAATCTTTCAGCTCTGTTGCTCACCTGAATCCCGTTACTTTGCAGCCAGTGAAGTAGGGGCCAATGCTGCTCTTCTGGAGCAGGGGGTCAATCTGACAAGGAAAGGTCTTTGTGAGTATGGGAAACCCAAAATACTGGGTGATTTCAGTGAAAAACAATGTGACTTTAGCTTACATAATGTTGCATGATTTTCTCAGTAGAATTGAATTTAGCAGAGCTTGGTGTCCCTAGGTCTGGTGTGAACCTGAGGTTGGTTATTGTGAAGTTCAGGGTGAATTGCTCAATTTTTGGTCCTGAGTTTTGGGCAGTGGTTGGCTTCACTGCTGCAAAACAGAACAAAAGTTAGGCAGGTAAAGTAAGAACAGGATCTTCATAAGATACAGTATTGTTACTTTTTTTCTATATGAAGAGCAGAAAAACATATGAACATTTCAGATACTTTGTAATCTTATGAGCATTGCTACATGGGGGGAAACAAAATTATGCCTTTGAGTAGCTTTACTATGTATCTGTTTTTAAACATACTTACCAGACAGAGTATGTGGTTCATTGTAATCTGAAAAAGAAATGGATAAATATTAGGAAAAATATTCCAAGAAAGTCACAGCAGGACTAGACACTTGGGGTTTTTTATTACAAAATATTCAGGATCACGGTTACTGAATTCATGACTGTGTCAACTTAGTGACTCTGACAGTTTTTTGCCCTCTACTTTGTTATCTGCTTTTAGAGGTGTATTTAATCCTCTTCTCACTCCAAAATAGTCTGTGCCAACATAAGGAGTAGGGCCTGGAGGGGGTCTGGTTACCATCAACGTAGAGGCTGTGGCTGTGCAGGCTGTAGTGTCCCAGCTCGGTGATGCCCTTGGTCATGTTGCTCAGCTCATGGTAAACTGTGACTCTGCTGAACGTGGGATCTGAAGGATCATCTCTGTAGCTGCAGATGGCATCTACTCCTGTGTCATCCCTGTCCTCCTTTGACCTAGGAAATAAGATGTTGTTTGAGGACCCATTTAGTCCATCTTAAATTTTAGAAGATCAAAGTCACATATAAGAAAAGCATTCAGTGACTTTAATGTGTTGAATGCTGAGAAATGGGAAACAATTATTTTAAGAAGCAAGTAATATAAACTTTTCCCAGACTCTTACCTGAATGCCATAACTTTGCAGCCAATATAAGCAGGGCCAATGCTGCTTTTCTGGAGTAAAGGGTCAACCTAGAAATTTAATAATAACATTTCAGTAAAATGTCATGGCAAAGGTAAGAGATCAGAGACATTAAAAGAACTTGCCCAAGCAGGGAATCGTTTTGCCAGACTTACATAATGATACATGACTTTTTCTGTTGACTTGAATTTTTTAGAATTTGGCATTGCCAGATCTGCAGTGAAGGGGAGGTTGGTTATAGTGAAATTCAATGTGAAGTTCCTCACTGCGGGTGACAGAGGCTCTGATCCTTGATCAACAGCTGTAATGAGCAAGGCAAAACATTGCTTGAAAATACAATTTATGATCACCATCCCCAGAGGAAACGCTATAAAAAACCACTCAGATATTCTAGTTGGCTTCAGGGTCATAGCAGCTGTGGTTCCCTAACAGGTTCCCAGTTTCTCTTAACACTGTTTTATAAGTCTAATAGCACTCTTGGCTGGCTAGTCCAACCTTCTTTTTTGGCTATTGCTAACTAGCAAAATCTTCTTGCCCTTTCAGTTGCTATTTAAAGGTACTTACATAGTCCAGGCTGTGGTTCATTATAACCTGTGAGGAGAAAAAGGACAGTATATGAGAAACTGGCTTACAGTCTGGAAGGTCGAAAAAGGACAGTGTATGAGAAACTGGCTTACAGTCTGGAAGGTCTGGCACACAGTGGAATACAGAACTTGAATTGGTTTTGTCTGAGAGATCCTGTATAAACATTTACTAGGAAAGGCTGATTTGATGACTGTCCAGGATTAAATGTAAATTCATGCTGCTTATGTTGTTGGCAAGCTGCTGCTTTTCTTAGAGAGCAGCACACAGAATTCTCCTTTAGGGATATTGAGAGGGAATTTACCCATGCCCTTAATCCAATTTAACTTCTGCATTGATAAGTTAAGTATGACTTTTGTCAAGTGTCCAGTTCTAGTGCTGTTCCTCTGCAGAGGAACACATTCCATAGTGTACCTGGAGAGGTGAATCTTTGTATTTTCTGGAGAATGACCTGTGGTGTATTCTATGATATATTATATTTGGCTAAGTTACTTCAAAAGAATAACAAAGGTGCAAAGGCTACGAGTGACGGTGGCTCCTCTGCCTTGGTTAGCTCTGGTTCTTGCTTTTTCTGCGGATTTTATTGCTTCTGTGGTTATGTAGTAACTCAGTTCCTCCTAATATCACATCAGCAGTCAGGATTCCCTCCTGGCATCAGCTCAGCCACTTACCATTAACATAACAACTTGCTGCATCCAGCCTGTAGGGTCCCAGCTCAGTGCAGCTGCCTGTCATCTGGCTGAGCTCACGATAAACCTTGATTCGGTCGAATTCTGGAGCTGTGTATGTGCAGACTGCATCCATGGCAGTGCCCTCTCCATTCCTCATGGACCTGAAAAATCACACATGTTTGCAGGCCTGCATGACACCTCTATGCATTTGAGTTTGCTTGCACACTGCCATAGAATTGGATTTTCCCCTTAGAATCCCGTAAAACAATCTTATTAAATAAAAGAATGTCCTCAGCTTTTATGATCTAACTGAAATGCATTTAAAATTAGTCCGATCACCCTCTTCAGTGCAAACTTGGTGTGAAATCAATGCGAAAATAATTGGAAGAAATTATGTAATAACCACCCCATCACAAGGGGTCATAAATGAGCAATAATTTTACTTGGTGCTCTCTAAAACTTAACAGGCTCTACCAGGCTAGGAGGAAACAAAATCAGGAAGGAACTACACGCAAAGGAAAGATTAGTGCATGATCCTGTTGTCAGCCAAAATTTGAGTTGCCCTTCACTTTTGTGGCACTTCCAGGATGTGCCTACCTTAGTGCCACCACTGCACATCCAGTGTAAGCGGGGCTAATGCTGCTGTTCTTGAGTACACGATCAAGCTGCCAAGAAAAAAAAAGCCATTGATAAGCCACAATGAATAAATAATAAAAGTAATAAGAACACAGCCAGAAGAGGAACCTGACTAACACTCACCAAGTATCCCAGAGTTTTTTTTGTAGCAATGAATTTTTTAGAATTCAAATTTCCTAGTGCTGATGTGTAGAGGAGATTGGTCACAGTGAAGTTCACTGTGAAATGTCCCTCTCTTGCAAGAGGAGGAGCTGGAGATGTTGCTGCAAGAAAAGCAGAAGATTTGTTGTGACAGGAAAAAAATACTCATGAATCTGCTAAAGCCAAGGATAGAGAAGTTCATGTCAGCTGAAATGGATGGGAACTGCACTGAACAGCTCAGTATGGAAATGATGCCAGCAGCAGTGTAGGGCAAGGAGCTGTGGAGCAGAGGAGGGCTCTACTGCTTATCCAGAGCCCTACAGGAGGCCAGTCATAGCTGAGCAGACTGTCAACAGTCTGAGCAGCTGAGGTCAACTCCATCTCCCCTTTCATCCTGCTGGCTACACCACCTGATGTCCATTAACCACACTGGCCTGATAGTCTAGCTCCTTCAACCTTGGATTCTTTTTACTTGCAGTGTTGATGTTGGGAAAGACTGAACTGCATGTCAACATCAATAGCCCTCCAGCCTTCCAAGAGAGTAATTCTGTGTTTCTCCAAATAGGTCTCCTCATGCTGTCCCCTCTGGCCTCCTGTGTCATCCTGATCTAATTCAAATGCTTCATGAGACATTGATGCCAGTGATGCTTAGCAGTTAACTCCTCTCACTGTGAAATGTTTGCACCTTATTTTTACTTCTAGTTCCTTTAAAAGGTGAAAAAAGACATCTACAGAGGCATTCATCTCTATCTTGTATATTGACACTTAGGGCATTATGGCTTTTTAATTAAAACTACTTACGAGGAGTGAGAAGGGCTTCATGGTAATCTGGAAGGAGAACAAAGTAGAGAGACAACTGAATCAGATTATTGTACAGGTCAACAATGCCCCAGAAAGGGCAACAGATTTACTGCTTCTGAGTAGTCACTTAAACCATTTATGGTAGTGCAGCAAGGTGTTATTTTGAAGAAAACTCATTGTAACTGGTGGAGGAAGGTTCCTGATTTATGTGGAAATTGGTTGCATTTAGTTTTAAGATTTATATGCTGCTTTGCATGTTTTGGTAATTTATCAGATGTTATTTCAAAATAAAAAAAAGGCACAACTGACAATGTAAATCCTTTGAAGGTAAACAGTGATAGTTGGAGGAGAATTTGGGTAGGTGATGGAGTTTTGTGAATTATGTAGCACATAGGTTGAGCCCAAGCATATGCCATTCCATCTGTGTGATAGTCATGCCTGTGCTTTAACTACAAGACAGCTGTGGACTATTAGCTAATGAACATTCCTATATCCACGTGGAAATCAACACCTTACCATTGATATACAGGCTTTCCTGGTCTAAGCTGTAGATTCCCAAGTTGGTGATGCCATTTGTTTTGCTGCTCACTTCATGGTAAAGAATCACTCGATCAAATTGTGGAACAGCAGAATCTGTTTTGTAGGTACACACAGCGTCTACTCCAGTGTCTTCAATATTTTGTGCAGGTCTAGGGAAATGAGGATATACCCTGTTTTGTTCCAGAATTCAATATTCATCATACATACTGAAGGAATTTTAATTTAATATTGCCAGGTAGAAAATGATATTTTTTTTTTTCCTCCATGATGATTCTTTCAAGTGTATTGCCAAAATGGTGGGAACATACCTGACCTTTCAGATGCTGCAAGCATGAATTCAAGTAAATTTAGAAAGACATAGTTGAAAAAAAGTGTAAAGATTTCTTAGGTTTCTTGAATCAGGTGACAAATTAATAGATGTAAAAGTGAATTAAGGGATTTGTGTACCTTAAAGTCATGAAAAGGAAAAAACATTTTCTAAATTTACATAATTATGCTTACCTGAAAGCCATCAATTTGCAGCCTGTATACACAGAATGAATACTAGTCCTCTTGAACAGCTGATCAAGCTGAAAAATAATGCATTTTAAAAGTTAATCATACTTAGATGAGCAAAAGATCACAAAGAAAGAAAACTCAAGAATATATCACACTAACCAGAGCAGTCAGGACTTTTGTTGTAGAACTAAATTTGGCAGAATAAGGATTTCTGAGATGACTAGAGTATGGGAGATTAGTTATGGTGAAGTTGACTGTGAAGTTCCCAGTTATTGGAGATAGAGCTGTAGCTGGAAGCAAAAAAAACATGGAAAAGTGAACAAAAAACAGATTTTAATTTATATTCTACAGTCAAGGAGTAGGATATTCATATAAAAACTTAATATCGCTGTATTACACTATTTTAGGAAAAAAGTATCACTACTAGAAAATGTATCATAAATGGTGATATTTACATGTTACGTTACTGCGTTACTTTCAGATAATAAAAAATTCATAGATTTACCTGACAAAAGATGGTATTCATTGTATTCTGGAAGGAAAGACAGGTTCATTAAAACAAAATAAAAACAACAAAGAGGAACTCCCAGACAAACCCACAAACCACAAAAACATAGACAAAAGACTTCATGGTAAAAACACATAGAATAACTGCAAGAAAAAAGTATAGTCTAAGAAGTCTATTTTCCTGTATAAATACTAAAAAACCAATCTACCATGGAATATAGAATAAAAAAGAGTAGGACATGAAGGGTTCAAGAACCAACAGAGAAAACTAAGGATACGGTGGACTTAAAACAGAAATAAAAACATGGAAACAAAACCAAAACGTATTAATGAATGCAGCAGAAAATGAAATAATAGATACAGAAAAAACAGAAAAAGAAAAGAAAATAGATATTCACCATTGACGTAGAGGCTGTCCTTGTCCAGGCTGTAGGGGCCCAGCTGCGTGATGCCTGCGGTCTTGTTGCTCACTTGGTGGTAAAGGCCCACCCTGTCCAAGGGCAGGGCCGAGGGCTCCTTCCTGTAGGTGCAGACGGCGTCCACCCCCGTGTCGTCCCCTTGCCTCACTGGCCTGCAAAACACAGCGCCGTGCCTGAGCCCCCCTCCTCTGTGCCCTCTGGCTGCCAGGACGGGGCCTGGGGCATCCCCAGCCGTCTGGGCAGAGGGTCACAAGCCCGCCATTGGCAACCCGTGTGTGCGTGCTGCTGGCCACTGCTCTGCTGCCTCCATGAACGGCCTGGGGCTGTTGAGGAAGTGCCGGGCCCATCAGGACCTTCGAGTCGTCTTTGGGCTTTGCCCTCACCCCCCAAAGGTGAGGCCATAACGCAGGAGGCAGTCATGGAAATTGTCTCAGGGGGATAAGCTTCAGGGAGAAGGTCTTCAGGCAAGACTGATTTAGGGAGGAAGTACAGAGGGAGGAGAGTGTCAAAGAGAAGGCCCTAAGTCAGGAGACTAGTAGGGAAGTGGTTCTAATGCATAAGGACATGAGGAAAAAGGATGTAAAAGCATGAGAGCATTAGGAAAAAGAAATGCAAAGGTAGGAAGGTATCAGGGAGGAGGTCCTAATGTAGGAGATCATCAGAGAAAAGGTCCTGCCTCCATAGGCTAGGTGGCAACAGAGTGTGATGGCCACTGATCTGATAGTGGGACCTGCAAGGGGACACTTGGGCGCGACCCATACCTGAAGGCTGTTGTTTCACATCCAAGGAAAGCGGGGCCAATGCTGCTTTCCTTCAGGAGGCGGTCGAGCTGCCAACGAGAGAGGTTTCACAGTTAAGCCCTGGCCATCTCCCTGCCCATCTGACCAAGTTGACGAGGCTACCAATGGCATGGCCTTTGCTCTGCACTGAGCTGCTTACCAAGGTGTTCACCTCTCTCCTCATAGTGCTGAACCTGGCCGAGTCAGGATTTTCCAAGTCGGAATTGTAGGGGAGATTGGTGATGGTGAAGTTGATGGTGAAAGGCTCGAGGGCTGCAGCGGTGGTTGGTGGATGGGTGGGAGCTGCAAGAAGCACAGATGGGGAGTGAGGAGGTGCAAGAGCCAGGCTGTCAAGGCTCGTGGTGGACAAACGCAGAGGTCGCCTGACAGACAACCCTCCTTTGTGGCCCTCATCTCATGTGGGACGGGTGTTGAGCTCCTTCCCTGCTTCTCAGAGGGATCATCAGCCCTGGCCAGCAGCAACCTGTGCCCCCAGGAAGACCCCCGTGAGGCACTTGCTGCCTTGAGAGCACAGCAGCCTCCTGCAAGGTACTCACCGGGCAGGACTGGCTGTTCGTTGTAACCTGGGAAAAGAGAGAGAGAGAAGAGGGTTGATGAGCTGGAGGTGTGGCCAGGGAGGGAGCAGGGCTGGGGAAGGCTGCCCGGGGCCAGCAGAGGAGGCAGGGAGAGGAGCATGGCTCACCATTGACGTAGAGGCTGTCCTTGTCCAGGCTGTAGGGGCCCAGCTGCGTGATGCCTGCGGTCTTGTTGCTCACTTGGTGGTAAAGGCCCACCCTGTCCAAGGGCAGGGCCGAGGGCTCCTTCCTGTAGGTGCAGACGGCGTCCACCCCCGTGTCGTCCCCTTGCCTCACTGGCCTGCAAAACACAGCGCCGTGCCTGAGCCCCCCTCCTCTGTGCCCTCTGGCTGCCAGGACGGGGCCTGGGGCATCCCCAGCCGTCTGGGCAGAGGGTCACAAGCCCGCCATTGGCAACCCGTGTGTGCGTGCTGCTGGCCACTGCTCTGCTGCCTCCATGAACGGCCTGGGGCTGTTGAGGAAGTGCCGGGCCCATCAGGACCTTCGAGTCGTCTTTGGGCTTTGCCCTCACCCCCCAAAGGAGAGAGGAAAGGTAGTGAGGGGAGCCCCTTAGGGAGGAGGGCATGACGGAGGAGTTCCTGAGGAAATGGGTTCTAAGGCATGAAGGCATCCAGGAGGAGGTGGTGAGGCAATGGGCGTGAGGGAGAAGGTCTTAAGACAGCATTAAATCAGGGTGACGGGTCTAAGGCAGGATGTGAGAAGGGAGAAGGTCCGAAGCTGAGAGGTCATTAGAGAGAAGGTTCTACCTCCGTAGGCTAGGAGGAGATAGAGCATGATGGCCCCCTGGTCTGATTGTGGGAGCTGCAAGGGGACACTCGGGCGCGACCCATACCTGAAGGCTGTTGTTTCACATCCAAGGAAAGCGGGGCCAATGCTGCTTTCCTTCAGGAGGCGGTCGAGCTGCCAACGAGAGAGGTTTCACAGTTAAGCCCTGGCCATCTCCCTGCCCATCTGACCAAGTTGACGAGGCTACCAATGGCATGGCCTTTGCTCTGCACTGAGCTGCTTACCAAGGTGTTCACCTCTCTCCTCATAGTGCTGAACCTGGCCGAGTCAGGATTTTCCAAGTCGGAATTGTAGGGGAGATTGGTGATGGTGAAGTTGATGGTGAAAGGCTCGAGGGCTGCAGCGGTGGTTGGTGGATGGGTGGGAGCTGCAAGAAGCACAGATGGGGAGTGAGGAGGTGCAAGAGCCAGGCTGTCAAGGCTCGTGGTGGACAAACGCAGAGGCCGCCTGACAGACAACCCTCCTTTGTGGCCCTCATCTCATGTGGGACATGTGTTGAGCTCCCTGCTTCTCAGAGGGATCATCAGCCCTGGCCAGCAGCAACCTGTGCCCCCAGGAAGACCCCCGTGAGGCACTTGCTGCCTTGAGAGCACAGCAGCCTCCTGCAAGGTACTCACCGGGCAGGACTGGCTGTTGGGGGTTGAACTCCCTGCTTCTCAGAGGGATCATCAGCC